GAGGGTTAGTAGACATTACAGTGGGTGTATTCAAAGTAGATCTTTGAGTAGAAGTTAGTGAGTGTGCACGCATATAGGGAGAGAAGACACAGCTAGGACATAGCTGGGGAGAAGACCAGCAAGGAGGAGGAAGAGATACTTACCTGAGAGCTTATGCTGATTACTGGTGACGTTTGGTATGCGCTGATGAGCGCTGGTGACTTGAACTCTTATTGCTCTTGTAATAACTTGTTGGAATTCATAAGCTGCGCTACCTGGTCTTAATATTTGTGGTCTGCAGTGTGAACTTCGTGTGATCTCATACATGCATGTGGTGTGAATATGTGTGCCCACTGGTGTTGAACTAAGAGGTTCACTGCAAACTGGTATCGGCGAGAAAGAAGATAAGAGAGAGTTGAGTGGGGAGAAGAATGACGAAGGGGGGGAAGAAGTAGGCCAAAGAAGAAGTGGCTGGATTACATACTTATTGCTGCTGCGTTGGAGCGTTGGAGCAGCCGTGGAGCTTCATCAACGGAACGTTCATTGGAGTGAAGTGCATCATCCCCTTATTAAACTTGTATTGCTTGCTGATTTGTCTTGGTGTTTGGTACCTCCCTCATTCTATTGTCGCTGCTGCTGGGCTGGTCCAAATCTCGTGACAAAGTTGACTTGCTTAGAGTCTAGCAACCAGTCCACTCGTAAAAAATAAAAACATATATATATAGTTCTCGAAGGTATACGGCAGTCAGAAACAGTCAGACCCACTCAGGAGTTAGTAAACTAGTAGTTGGGGTTAGGTCTAAGTGGTGAGGAGGTGGAGGCCGCTTACTTGTGCTTCTAGTCGCCATGGACGACTACCCCATGTTTTCAATTCTGTATCTGTCTGTGCTCTGGGGCCCCCTTCTTTGCTTCATATTCCCTCTTGGCTTCCAACGGACTTTCTGATCACATGCGGTGTTAAGGTCTGGGAAGTCAACACAAGTGAGTACAGTTGAGGAGCAGGCAGCGATAGATCGCTGCCTCGTTGAGAAGAAAAAGGAAAAGGAGGAAAAGGAAAGAAAAGAGGAGGAAATGAAGAAAAAGTTGTTAGAAGAGAAAAAAAATGGAGGAGATGAAGGAGCAGGAGAGGAAGATGATGGAAGAGTTGAAAGAAGAAGAAGAAGAAGAAGAAGAAGAAGAAGAAGAAGGAGACAGGATGGATAGGAGGAGAACCCAGCCGCAAAAAGAAAAAGTTGAAAGCAGCTAGGCAGGGGCAATCCGTATACGACAGTTGGAGGCGCTTAATTGGATTGAGCAGTTCCGGTACAGGACAAAGTTTCCAGAAGAGACGGAGGAGGAGAAAAATGCCTTTATAATTAAGTTGGCATCTGCAGCAGACGAGGCGGAAAAAAATCTATTGTTGGAGGAGAAGAAGGCGGAATTGGACAACAAGATGGTGGCGGCAAAAAGACAGGAGTATAATGAAAAGAGAAGGATGAAAGAAGAGGGGGAGAGGTTGCAGAAGTTGCTGCAAGAGCAAAAAGGAAAACGGGCTGCCACAGATGAGAGACTCTCCCTTCTAACTGACACTCTCCTCCACACTAACAACAAGTTGGCTGCACTCAACCGGACTGTAAATCGGATGGAATTGCACCAGGGAGAATTTGAAGGCATTTGGAAAAAATTATTGCGCAGTGCCCCCGAACAGATTGACCATCGTATATATGAGTATGTTGACCAACTAGATGCAGCCCTTGTCAAAAAGTTGACCGATTCGGCCGTAGTAAGAAAGTTGAAGATTAGAGGCGGGGGAGGAGATGGAGCAGATGATGGTGATGATGGAGACAAAAAGGGGAAAGGTCCCAAGAAAGAAAGGGGACGGCAAAGCGGAGGAATCCAGGCAGAAGATGAAGGTGAATCTGCCATGGATATATAACGGGAAGAAGGAAGAGAGTATCTTTCACTGGGAAGCCACTATGGACACCTATCTATATGCACCAAAGATTTTGTATTGGGACCATGTTTTAATGGCAAGTTTGTGTATGGCAGGGGATGCTATTAGCTTCACTATCTCCCTAATGAAAGAGGTTGGATGCACTAATATGGTTCAGTATTCACAGCGTACGAGTATTGAGGATTTCTTTAAGGCCCTTAGAGAGAGAGAGAGAGAGAGAGAGAGAGAGAGAGAGAGAGAGAGAGAGAGAGAGAGAGAGAGATTTGAAGATAAGAAT